AAAAAAAGTGTAAGAGCCGGAGATGCGGTCTTACTTCATAAGGGAGCCCAAAGTGTAGTAAGACACTTTTTCACTTACAATTAATTATTGCTTAAAGACTAAACTTCTCACTTACAGTTACACACTGATTAGATGTGATAAACCAATCAGGTCAAACTTAATATTAGGTAGTAAAAAGAAGAAAAAGGCTAATTAAATTAAATTAAATTACCAAAAATGTTTATTACAAAGATGAAATACACTAGTGTACAGAGGGATTTCAGGACAAATCAAGAGGCTATCCTTAAAATGACCAATAGGTTATTATTTCTGCCTAACAAAACTGCTTGCCTGTGGTTGTGGGAAATATTCCACTAAGGCTGTCGTCGGTCACGTGTTTATTATACAAAGGGGCGAATCGATCAGGCGCCTCGCTTCTCGGTTATACATCTTTCTGCACAGGTCAAGAAAAATCTAATCTAAACCCTACAACGACAATGTACACTACAAATATCGAACAATACAGACACGCATACGAAACAAATGTTAGAAGTTATCTCGAAGAAAAAAAAAACATCACCTAGACATAACCAAGTTTGTCAGACTATTCACGGTAGACGAACTAAAACGAGCTTCATTGGCGTACTTGCAGTTGTCTGTGTCAAACTTTAACGATGAGTTGACCAAGAATTTCTCAAAATTCTTCAACCCCGCCTCAGCACAGTTGGTATTATTACTGTAATGCCCCTTGTGAACAGGGCTGCGGCCACGTCTTCTCTTCCCAGACGAGTTCCAACGCAAGTTTATGAGCGAATAATCTTTCGACAGATCAGGAACAAGTCGAGACTCGTTTGGCATCTTCTTGTCTTTACTGTCGACTGTTGAGTTGATCGTCTTTACAGGCAAAGAGTCTTCATGAATGGGGCCCACAAAATCGGATTTTTTGTTTATGCCGGACAATGACGAGACAATGTCGGGCCTTCCCTTGATACGATGCCACTCACCATTAAACCATTCCTTTGAACGCCTCAAATTACCACGATTGAATACGAGCTCTTGCTTTTCCCCTGCAGGAGTAAAACATTGTATTAGAGATTAGAATCCATCTTCATACACAATTAATATAGGCAAGCTAAATGATATGCACCTGGAAAATAAACTTTTAGCCTATCTTCAGATTCTTTGTTTACAATGATCCCTTCCCACCATCCATCATGCCACCAAGCATCAACCACACAACCAACATTTAGTACATCGGAAACTTTCTCGTCGTACGATGTTGTTGGTCTAACAATGGTCCTTCCAGACAATCGAACTTCCAATGCGTCCGCAGCAGCTACTCGTGATGCCAGGATCCACTCCTAGAAAATGAATCAACATAACATACTTAGAGAATCTATGACGAAGAAAGACGTACATTTACTATAAAAAAAACGAAAAAAAGATACACACCTCCAAATATTTTGAGTCATCAACTGCATCCTTTACATCTTTGTACTGTACTTTGACCTTATCTTTGTGCCTTTTGATGATCGAAGCCCTGAACCAGCAACCCCTGATGCCACTGTCTTGAGAGAGAATCTCAACTTGAGAGCCAATGTTTAAATATTGTTGAGGATTTGATGGTGCGGGATTATTTTGCCCAGAAACGGATAATTTTGGCCAACCTCCTTTGGAATCAATAGAAGTATCATTGCAAACTTGTAAACTAGTTTCAAAAGTCACTCTTTTGTCAAACGGCTTCGATTGTAAATCGGACTCTTTAGAACAGCGAATTCTTTTATTTGGTCTTAATCCAGTGGCAACACAAAGAGATCCTTTTGACTTCGAACCATCCTCGGATAGTTCGAGTGACGAGGTTGTTTTGCTCAGTATTTTCTGTTTCCAGTAACCTTTGATGCGTGTTATGTCGAATGGCTTGACATCGTCGTTATCAAACTGCCTATTGCACACAAAAGGCATCAAGCCTATATGTGTCGCTTCGTCGATATATTTTTCATAATGGTCTGGACTGAGGACAGTTGCTAGTCCATCTATGCATTCAATACTGAGATCTTGAAGACAAAGAGAAAAGAAAATCTCCCTGTCATTATAATCAGGAGGCAAAACAAAACCAACCTCATCAATTTTGTGAAACCATCGTACCACAACCATCTTGTTGCCTCTGACGTCTTCGTACATATCATCTAAGTAAGCAACAAGTCGTTTGCCTTCTTCTGCCAATACAAAGACAAAGTCTTGAGCCTGAAAGTCGATAGAATATGGATCAATAAGAGGGCACTAGAGAAGTTAGAAATGCATAATAAAAAATATGAAGTTCAAGATTGTGGGGAAACTCTTACAGAAATTACAGCCCCGTTTCGACAGAATGCTCCATAGTGCCTACGTCTTTTTCGGCATGTCCATGATGATCCTAACCACATAAAATCATTCGCGTATTGATCCATCTTTCGAACCCGGACATCCTACAAAGATCTCAATGATGTAAGACTATGGCCCAAGTCAATCGTAGAACTCGAAAATATAAAAATTTAAGCAAACTGAATAACAAGAAGAAAAAAAACACTCGAGGAACTTACCTTAACAATAACATCATCTAACTGACCATCCATCCCACCTGTAAACTCTTTAACAGACCCACTAGGCCGTTCACCTGAAATAAAAATCACAAAATATTGATTAAAACCAACAACAGAAGAGGTACTAACAAATCTTTTTAACCACAGGGAAGAGGGACGAGTTGTATAATGTTGTAAAAGAAAAGCAAAAACCATCTATCGCAATCCTCAACAAAACTATGTTCAGCAGTACAAAAAAATAAAAGCACAGAACAATCAATATTGGCCTAGAGAGAACATTGTAGATGTTGACCTAGAATAGGAAATGGGAAATCCGAGGCTCTCAACCAGCTTTTAGAAATCTTAATATCCCTGCAGTCCAGATTACAGTCAGTCTTTCATAACGATAGCACCACGTTTACTGAGGTAATGAAACCCATAGATTCAAGAGAAAACACAAAGGCCAAAACAGGATTATAAGAATTGGTAAAAGAAAAGCCATTTTTTTAAGCAAAAGCTCCAATCAGTTTCCTGCATGTAACAAAATTTAAGCTCCGCCGGAATAAGGTAAGGAGGGTATGATTCAGAAAACTTATAGGCCAAGTCCATCGGAACAAGGAGCATATTCCTATAAATTCTATCAGCAAAAATCTAGAATAACAGTCCCCTAAAACCACTATTTTCTCCACCAGAGAGGAACCACACAAATCCAGGGCAAAAGCCTAGCGGTTCTTACGAAACTCGGTTTAACCTAGAAAGAATCTATGCCAAACAAGGGAACAAAACATAAGGAATGCTTAATTTTCTCTACTTTGCTCACAGATAGAAACAAAAGCCGATCCCTTTCCAATACACTCCAGATAGAAATTAAAGATTGATTTTTTACACAAAATTGTGATTTGTAGGGGCCATATAAAATTAATTGCCAAGGCGCAGATCTAAGTTGCATAGCCAATAAACACAAAACAGACGAAAGGAGAATTTTTAAAGAATTTCTTCATAGGAAATCAACCGAAACAACAGAAAGAGGATTTGACACCAAAATTAAAAAAAAAATTAAAAAAATTCTACAAATCTGGGAGAAAAAAAAACCAGTTTTTTGGGCAAACCCAGGAGAAATAAACCACCCAAAAAATCATAAAAGATGGATAAAAAAACTCTGTTTAACCTAGAAAGATCCTATGTCAAAAACTCAAACAAGGGAACAAAAGATAAGGAATGCTTAATATTCTCCAACACGCTCCCGAAACCAGAATTTATACGGTAGTTTTACAAAATTGCGATTTGTAGGGCGAAAAAAATCAATTGCCAAGGTGCAGATCTAAGTTGCATAACCAATAAACACAAAACAGATGAAAGGTGATTTTTTTCAGACGCACACGATAAAAACAGAAACAGGATTTGACACCAAAATCAAAAAATAATCCTACAAATCTGAAGAAAAAACAAACAAACAATTTTTTGGCCAAAATCCCCAAAAAATAATATAAAAAAAGATGAATAAGCACCTGAAAGGAGTGAATTGAGCCAATCGACGACATCTCTTCTAGACCTGAGCTTCAACCTAGAACCACGGTTCAAATTATACGGCAGCATGTTGTTTTCTTCAAAGGCGTAATTGTACGACATGTGCCTATTGCTCTTCTCCTTCCCCACAACCACCAGATTTCTGCCGCCGTCGCCGCGCTTGAGGTAATAGTAAACCTCCCGCCGGCCTCTCTCGTTCGATGCAACCACCTCCTCCCAGCCGACATCCGCCGCCGTCGAATTGTTCGCCATCGCCCCCATCAATCAATTTATTTCGAGAAAAGTAGAAAACAAAACTTGCAGAGGAGAGAGGAATACGAGTCCTTTTTTTCTTTTCAATTTTATTAACGGCTTTTTAATAAGAAAAAAAATATGGAATTTCAAAATTTGAAAGCGGTATTTATACTGCGAGCCTAGGGCTACGGGATTTGAATCAACGGTCAAGATTGCGTATGAACGTGGCGATGATACGGCGGAAATTCGTCCGAAGTTGCCAGCGTTAAGTATTTGCGTTAGGGTCCTTGGAGTAGGGAGTATTTATTGAACGGGACCTATTTTGTTACTTCTTTTCTACTTTGTCCTGAATAGTTAAAAAAATGACTAATTTCTTACAGAATTAACTTTCACTTGTTACATTTGTACCACCAAAATTTTCATTTACTCTTTAGTTACATTTTATACCAACTATATTTATATATTATATTCACTCTTTTTTAAATTAAATTATTTCCCTCTTATTTAAAAAAAAATATTACTTTCATTATTTTAAAATCATGATCCTTTTAGTTTAAAATCAAAAATGTTTTCATATTATAATTTATGCTCATTTTATTTGGTTTTATTTTTATTTATACTCAATTTTTTTTTAATTTCATTCTTCATATGAATGGTATTAATTTTAAAAACATACAAGTTATAATTCAAATATTTTGTTTTTTTTCTTCTCAATTATCTCTTATTAGAAATGATGTACAATGATATTTACCATTATTTTTATACATTTTAGATTAGATATTGTTATTGATTCTTTTGATTAAATAAATTCAATAATTAGATATTCGATAAGTTATATTATAAAAAGATAAAATATTTGCACATTAAATTAATCAGATTGGGCTTTAACATTAATTTACGTGTAAGGTTTTTAAGATAAAGAAGAAGAAGATACTCCATTTTTAATGTGGTATCTTGATATATTTTATTTTGAAGAGAATATTTTGAATCTTTAAGATAATTGAACGAGAAAAAACTTTGATATGCATATATTGTTTTTTTCATTCTATAAGAACTCATCATATGTATCTTGTGCAATTTATTATTTTATAAAGGGGAAATAAACTATTTGAATATTAATAATTATACTCATTTGTAAAATTAAGGTATATTTAGAATAAAATTATTTAAAAAAAAAATTCAATTACTACTACAATATAGGATTTGTTCAATGCTTACACTATGAGTATACATTTTGCTATGATTTTTATTTTATAAAATAAAAGAAGAGAATTAGGAAAATAATAACTTAATTGCAAAAAGGCTGTAATTTGGAGTATTATATTTATAGGAAATGGAAATAATGGGGCACACGTCCCCACTCTCTTGTGTATCAACTCTCATAGAATGGACACATAGAATTATTTATAGATATTTTGATATGATTATTTAATGAATTATAATATTAAAGTCATAGATATGAAAATGACCTTATCAATAGCTAGGGGTGTAAATAAGGTGAGTCGGCTCGACATAAGTTTGAACTCGAACTCGAATTCGAATTTTTCGAGCTCAAGCTTTGGGACGAGTCGTGGCCAAGCTCATTCTTAATTGTGCGTGAGCTCGCAAGCCGGCTCTCGAGAGCTTTTTTTCTTTCAATTTTTATGTTAAATATGATAAATATAAATATAAGTGATGAATTCATATAAATAATTAAAGAAATAAATTAACATGTCATTTTTTTATTTCAAAATTTTTATTATAATTTATAATAATATTAATAAAAAAATGCACAAAATGGGTTTAGGCTCAAGCTCGAACTTGAGTCCAGAAAAAAAATACGCAAAGAGCTCGAGTTCGTCAAAAAGATTCGAGCTTGAGCTCGCTAAAATAGTTAAGATCGGCTCGTTTACGCCCCTAACAATAGGCTACAACCCGATTTCAAATAGAATCTAACTTTATCATAATACTACCCACCCCATTTAAATACTAGTTAGTACTCATGCATAAATTTCACAACTAAAGAAACATTAGTATATATTGCTATTTATGTTTTAAATTCGAATTGTCAAATTTGTGGTATATTTTATTTAGAAGACAAACCATTGCCATTTTTCAATCAAACTATTCATGATTAATTACTTTTCTTTTTCAAACTATTTATTACATATCAATGGTGCAAAGTGCTATTAAAAAAATTATAGTGGGTGCAAAATGAAATTAAGCGAATAATATGTGCGTTGTTGTAATTAAAGCACAATGCCTGTCTGAGGACCAATGCTAAAATACTAATAAGTTGTTGGACCGTACAATAAATCTAACAAATGTGGTACAAGAGAAAGTCAGAAAACAAAAGAAAAATGGCCTAGAATCTATCGCTAGATTATTAGAATATATAAATAAATACAAGGTTCGCGAATAAAGGCAAAATAGCTGGCGTAAGTCAAAAGATGTGGCTCCCATGACAGCTAATCACGGCCCACCAAACTCTGCTTAGGCGGGAAGACTATTCAAACCATATGAAACTTCCGAGTTTTTATCTCTCTTACACACACCTCCTCGGTTGAACTAAATTGGCCACAATGCATGAGTTCCGTGGAACTCGTACTAATCGAATCGAATCGTAATTAGCAATTTCGATGTAATTTTAATTATATCCCGTAAAAGTTTTGGAGAGATTAGATATCGTATTAATTTCAAAAAATCAGAGATTTTTTTTTTTTTCCTCAAGATTGAATTTTTTCAAAGCAAAGTCGGTGGCGTTCGAATTTTTTATCTTTTAATAATTTATAATATAACACCTTATAATTTGTAAAGTGTACTTTTTGGATAAAAATAGAATTTTCAAAAATTAAAATTGGATTGAATTCTTTTTTCATCCGAGTTTGAATCCATTTGTGAACGTTTGCTAAGTTAAGCTGGTCACATATGATTGACCAAGTGTGATTTACGATATCCGTAGTGATTTTCGAGCTATTGAACAAAGACGGAGTTTATTCATTCATCCAATTGGGTATACAAAGATTGGAAGTTTAGTTTGAAAATCATTTCTAATGTTTCCGAATAACTACAATATGACTTACAAGTCTATAGTAATAAAATCTAAATTATACGAAATTCATTTTTTTAGTACTTGGTTCATTCAAATAAATATAAACAAACGTGTCTCGTTGTTAGAAATCTAATTTTTTTTTTATTATACGTGAATGACACTCATTAATGAGGTTTTTTTTTTTTTTTTTTTGAATGAATCCGCAGCTAATCAAATAGGTTGCAAATCACACGAAATACATAAACCATATTTGACTTTAACCACGTGTGACAAGTTCGACCTGACAACTGTTGACAAGTGAATTTAAATTTAGGTCATTTAACACAGATTCACTCAACTCCAACCGCTAAGTCGTCCCAACGACTTTGGATCTTGATGTAGTGGTCAAATTGGAGTTCAGATTTCGTTTTTACTTCTTACCTCGTTGCACAAAATTTAAAATCAAATTGAAGCTAATTTTGACGTGAAAAATATAAATTAGACAGTCTTGACCCAAAAATATACTGCTGGTACAAAAAAGTTGAATACACATCACAAATAACATAGTGGGACATTTTGAATTAGATGTATCTTGTGCAACTTGTTCGACTGATATACATTATTTAATTAGTTTACAATAATAATTAGGGATAGACTTTGGACTACAACAAATAAATAAAAATAAGTTGGTGGGGATGAGTTTGGAATTAAAAGCGATAAGAACAAACAATGGCATGTGCCAAGTTGGGGGCACGTGGCCCACAAATATCAGATGGTCTTGTTCATTGACATTGGCATCGTAAAAAATCTTAGTCAAGGCTTCTCTATTTTAGCTTTTAAGTGGTGTTTGGACTTTTTTTTAAGTAATAATTTAGTGAGAATAACCACTTATATCTAAAATTTTAGAGTAATCACTTATATTTTAAGGGATGTTATGTCTTAATACAACTAATTTTAAGAGAAAAGAAAACTAAATATTGTATTAATAAATACTAAAAGGGTAAATAATCTAATATGGTATTTGTAATTACAAATACTATAATCCATTATAAATCATGACCGAATGAATGAATGGTCTAAATTACTCTTTTATTAAACAAATAAAATTTTGTGTAAATTATGGATACCCCGGGAAGATAAAATATTACATTTACCCTTGGGTTAGTTCGGAAAATTCATATCCAATTTCCATGGGATCTTTAAGATTCTATTAGTGATAGCTCTGTAAAGGTGTAACTGTTAGATGAAGCAATAGTTGAAGAATATTTATAAGTATCGATACCGCATAAGTGTGTAAATAATTTGATCATACCTCAGGGGTCCCCATAATTTTCCATACTAAAATATAGATTATGAACAATAACGTTCATAATATGTTCTCAAAATTATTTTGGTTCTCCTCTACATTTCTTTTCCGAAACGAATTAATGTTTGTTAAGATTTATAATTACTTTCTTTGTAACAATCTCAATTTTTTTTTTCTTTTATTCAAATATGATTTGATTGATACAATAAAAAAATATAAACAATACCCAATCATCAAATGACGTAACCTTGATCCAATGAATCTAGATTGACTTAATTTGGGGAACAATATAAATAAATCTTGTGTTTGACTATTAAATGATTCATTTTAAGGATATTTTTCATCCCTCATTTAGCTAGTTGATTTTGCAATTGATCCGGACTATTTTGCCCAGGTAAAAAAGGCCTACCACCTATTTTTTTAGACCAAGCTCACTCTTCGCTCCTCTCTCTAGAGTAAGTAAAAATAGGAGGATAAGAAATGTGCGGACATGATTCACTAGAGAAATCACCACAAAACTACATATGGAAAAAACACCCACTACACCAAGAACACACACTACGACAAGAATACACATAAATACAAACAAATATATACAAATACGATGAAGTAACCAAAAAGGCCACATAAAATACATTGGGCTTTTATATAAGCATATGGAGTGTATGGATTATTTCGAGAACTTTAATGGGCTAAAATTAC